CTTGACTCAGTGATAGTGATGCTCTTGCAACCCATGTTATCCTAAGAATAAATTTTAACTCCAGATTTGAATAAAACTATCCTTAAATAAACTTTGATTAAATAAGTTTGATTAAACAACCCAGGTTGTTTGGCCAGAATACCTATGTAGTTGTTAGGTAAAATTTCCTTTCTCTGCAGGACAATTTTAAATTGCAGTAGATTTTCAAACCTGTTTGCACTGGCAGCAGGTTAAAAGCAAGTGCTCTTTTGATGCCTGGGAGGGCAGAGAAGGAACATTCAGCTCCCAGGCTGTGCTTGGTGCCTGCACAGGGAACAAGCAAAGGCAGAGAACAGTCTTTGTCACTTGGACTGAAGATCAAGTTCAGACATCAAGAAGTGACCCAGATGCAGCTGAAGAAGGGCAGTTCTTGTGAAGAAAAGTGAGTCACAGAGAGGTAAYATCCTGCTGCAGCTTGCTTGTTGCTGCTTGACCCGAGTGTAAGAGCAAGGGTGACACTGGAGAAAAAAGGAAACTTTAAAGAACTGAGCTCCTTCACATCTTCCCCAGTCACTGAATCCATCCCTCCAACAGGGGATGCTCACCCACTGCTTTTAGGTACCCAAATAGCTACAGACATGGATCTCCTACTGTTGAGAGGAAAGGGCTAAAAAATTATGCCCTATTGGCACAGTGATACACTGAAAGCAGTCTCTGACTCTTTAACTGCTGGGCTTAAACATCCACCATAACTATTCGTTCAACTGCACACCCAGATAAAACCTCCAGCTGTTCCTACACCATAACTATTCGTTCAACTGCACATCCAGATAAAACCTCCAGCTGTTCCTAAAAACAACAGCTCATCAGCAAGAGCCAGCATGAATGCCTCAGGCAAGTACTTTGTTTTTGTGTGAGTTCCCTGTTGACTAAAGGCCCATTTCTGAACATCAGAGATGACAGAAGACTTGGCCACAACTGAAAAGGATTTGATATCCTTCCCTGTGCTCCAAATTTTTGCACCATTTACATTGCTCTGGAATCCCAAAGCTCTTAAGTGACAGACTCCCTGCATGGATGCAAACCCTGTGGAAGGGATGACCCAAGGCAGGGGAAGGATCTGCTGCCATTGCTGCTCCCAGGATGGTCAGGGATGCAGCCCAGCTCTCAGATTAAACCAAGTTTGCTGTATTAATGCTGGTTTGAATGTTCACTGCTTTGCCCATTTCAGACCACTGAGCTGAGTCTTAATAAACATACCTTCTGAATGGATTTTTATTATTGTTGCTTACCCTTTCCGTCCCCCCCGGTCATTAAGGCTCATTATGTGGAGTCATCAGCTGTTTTTGCTTTGTTTCCCATCTGTTCATACACTCCTTGGGATCCTAGATAATACTGCAGATGGGAGTGCCATTTCCGCTATTTTGGGTTTGCTCCAGTGGGACTTCATGTGGCCACTGGTGGAAAACATTGTAATGGTTTTGATTAAAGATTTTCCATAGTACAGACACCTGTCAAATCTTAAAATTTTCAACATCAYATCACTGACCAGAGTCAGTGGCAGTCTTTTTCCTAGGAGGATTTTCACTCCTTTTCCCATCTAAATACCTCCATTCTCTGAAATCAATAAGGATTTTTTCTTGAGAACAATTCTTGTACAAGTTCAAGTCACAGGGAAAACCACCACTGATAGTGACTGGGAAGAAGACAATGTTCTGGTTCCATTGCTGTTAAATGGAGCAGAAACTGGAAACTAATGAGACTTTGCTGAGAAAGCCTAATCTCCTGTAGCCCCTTCATATTATTCTTTCACTCCTGCATCAGTGAGATTGTCACACTGGCACACTGTTCCTGATCTCTGATGACTAGCAAACCAAYTCTAATTTGTCACAAGGTATGCTTTGGTCATCTTATACCTGTTTGATCTTATGGCTAAGCTGTCCTTTTTCTCCAATACCTGTTCTCTCTCCACAGGTTTTATTCCCTTCARAACCATTTCAACCTTTGCTCTCTGAAGCTGAACAAACCACCATCTTCTATAGCTTCTTGATGGAAATTTATGCTCTCTGCTTTCCTCATCCTCCCCACTCTTTCAATTAATATGCACCTGCCATGGTGACAGGAGCCAAAGCACTGCTGTCAGTCCCAAAGCCAACCCACAGGCAGGTACCTGCTCCAGCTTCAYTGTCTCCCACTGCCACTTGGTTCTGCTTTTTTCCCTAGTCTGCCTTTTGAGATTTATTTTAGTTTTCAGTTTGGTCTCAGATACATCTTGAAAACGGCCTCCTTCTCCCCTCTGCATTCATTTGCTAATGTAGGTTAAGTGACTACAACAGTATTTTGGGCAGCTATTCTCTGAATCCATTTCCTGGCACTTTTCTTCCAGATCTATAATTCATATCTTGATTTCTCAGCATCTTTGCCACTAAAATTCTGAGACACTATTTTTGGTGTGGGTGCCAAGGGTGGCAGCACACACATCCAGGTGTGGGGGATGGTGACATTTCATTTCACAGGGACACTTCTCTGTGGTCACAGTGCAAGGCYCTCAATGGTTACAGCAGCACTGAGCTCAAAGATTCAGGATGCTTTAACACAGCGGGGTCCAGCAGCAGATCTAGCAAGGATGGGCTCGCACAGCTTTAGAGCAAGTGGCAACAGCAAGTGGCTGGAACTCTGCACCTTGTCACAGAGCAGGACAGTGCCACAACCACTGCATCTCCAGCCTCATGGGTAAATCCAACTCCTGTAAGCACTGCCCTCCCCTGCAGCTGGTTAACCTGCAGTGATATCTGGGCAGGTAAACCTGCAGTGATATCTGGGAAGTCAAGAAGACCTAAAATTGTTCAGCAAGACTTCTTACCCTTAAATTGCAGAAATTCAAGAAGACTCAGACTCAGTCTTTGTATATTTGCCCCTTTCAGAGAAGAAAAAGTCAGCGACCTTGACCTTTTTTTTTTGTTAAACCAATCATTTTACCAGAGAAACCCAAAATTAACATGTTACTTAAGAGTATATGTTGTGAAAGGAGGAGCAGGGGAGAGATTTCCAATGAAACTAGAAATTGTTTTAATACGGGGAAAAAATGATATAATAGTTGTGAGGGAGTTATGTTTAAGATTAAGGATAATGTTAGAAGATCAGCTATGCCTAATGTAAACTTCTCTAGAGTATCCAAGAATCTCAGCCATAGCCTGAGTTTCTTGTTGTGTTAGAGATATATGAACCTAAAGAGGCAAGGAGAGGAGATCTATAAAGACAGGTAATGCTGGTAGAAGTCTGGAGACCTTTTAAGATGCCTTAGATATAAATCTGGTCTAATAAATCTAATAAAGMACACAATGCTTTCTAAACATAGGCTTTTACCTACGCTCGGGCCAAACAGTAATTTCAGGGGAAGAAGAATCAAAGCAAATACTCACAGGAGAAAATCTGTTGAAACTGTGAACTTTTCACCTCTAACAGCAAGTAATGACCACGGGGTGCAAGATCAGATGGTTGACTTAACCGCCGAGTAACGAAATTAGGCTAAAAGTTAGATCTAGTCTGCCCAGAGGCAACATGACAAATTAGATTCATCCACTCCCCATATTTGTATTAGTGCACTTTTGTATTAGTGAACAGATTATAAAAGAAGGCTTTGCCTCAAGGCAGGGTTTTCTGGCACTGAACTAATTTTCAAGACGAGGTTCTCCCCTGAGGGCACAATAAGACCCTCCTTCTCTGCAGCCAAGGAGCAAATCCTCAGCAAAGATTTACCTGTGAAGAGCTCTTAACACATCTGTAGCTTTAAAACCCTGCAGATTTCTTTATATAAAGCTACATAAATTGAGATATATTTTAATAACAATGAAGCATTTAGTAATTTTCTAAAATAATTCAGTGACAATATTTATCAAAATTGCCAGGCTCAAAGCCTGGCACTATTGTGKCCCTGCAAGTCATGGCCTCGTGAGCTCTTACAGTCACAAATGGTGTTTCCAGCACGAGGCCTCGCTTTGCAGGCACAGCTGCGTGGCATCCCTCTGACCTGGGAGGGAGCTRTGAATCAGGAATGCCTTTCTTTTCCCTCTGAAGATGAAAGACTTTCAAAATTAATTGCATGACATTATGGCTTGTCTGTGTTGTCAGCTTTGATTTTGCTGTGACAAAATGATGGCCGCTCCCTGTCACAGAGAGTGACGCCGTGCCTGTGAGCACCGCGCTCATCAAGTGGCAGCAGCGGGGAAAGCATCCCTGCGTTCTGCATGGAAAGCAGTTCCGTGCAGTGGGATGCCAAGGCTGAGGCGAGGGCAGATGTTAAACTCACACAGGGGAGCCTGCCCGGCCATCGCTCACTGCAGCTGGGGCTGGCTGAGCTATCCCACGCAGCCCTGTGCCAGGTATCCAATTTCCTGACCCAATCCCTGCAATCCCTCCAAACACTGAGGGTAACACTCCCCAGAGGTGTTATTTTAAGCATTTAAAGCTGAATGAACAATCACGAGAAGTAAAATCAGAGCTCTTAAAAGAGCAGCTCTGCAACTGCCTTTGCAAGGCTTTGCGGGGCAAGTGGGAGCAGAAGCAGAGGGAGAAGACCAACTCTTTTTCCCTTTAGAGGGCAGTGGTGTTCATCATACAAAAGCTGCTTTTCCAAGGAGGTAAATCCCTCATGGATAACAACCGGGTCAGCAGCAGCAAAGCAGTGGCAGGGAACAGGGACCAGCGCTCGAAGCAATGCCGCTGGTTGTGCTGTGCCGTGCAGGACAGCATCTCACCCTGATGTACTTTCTGTAATGCTCTGTGCTGGGGCTCATTAATTTCCCCTCATTTTCATGCACAGTAATCAGACAAGTAATTACGGTTCCACSGAGAGGATTCCTTTCTCCCACCGCACCACGAGCACAGCCCAGAGTGAAATGCTCCTTACCATCATTTGCCAAATTGCAGCCTGTCTTGCAGCCAGATGAGCCTTCCTGTGAGATTTATGCCAAACCTGTTCAGAGAGCCAAAGAAGAGCTGATTTCAAAGGCAGTACTAACCTTTTCATGGGTTTGGGCGAGGCTTCCCTCTCCAGGTTGGAGGAGGCGTGCTTGACGTGCATGGCGTTGTAGGAGGTGTGGGTGTACTCATTTTCATCGCTGTAGTCGGGGCCCAGCAACGTTCGAGCCCACGTCCCCATGTCATAGGGAGGCAGGGTCCCCCCAAATTCAGAGGGCAGGCATTCAGGGTGTATTAGCTGGTGAAGGCTGTTCAGGTTGTTACCGTGAAGAAAGATCTTTAACAAATAGAAAAGAAAGTTCGAAGTCATCATCGACTCCATACTTCATTAAGTACAATAATAGCAGCACTAATGATGTGTGGAGTGTCATTTGTCGGCACTGCAGTTTCAGGTGGGAATTTCTAAAGCGCTCAGGGCTGGCTCAGTTGGCATAAGAGAGGATTTAACTTTAGGGTGGGCAGCTGAAGAATTAGGCTGACACTACTAACACTTCAGAAAACTCTGATTCTCTTGCCTTTGGCACATGACAATTTCAGTTTATTAAGTACCAGATCAGGAAAAGTGGAAGTCAGGAATTATGACTGATTACTGCTACTGTAAGAGGCTTACATGAAGAGCAGTGAGAAGAAAAGGGTGACAGTGGAGCTTACAGAAAGCAGATGTGAAGAGTAGGACCTCAACAAGTGAGACAATCACTGGCCCTGCACACCAGGACAGACATTTCCCAGGGGTGTGTCAGGCTGTCACCACTCTGTGCTGCTTTACTCATTTCTCTAATCCCTCTTTGCTCTCTGGTTGGTCCCAAGGAACCCTTGTCCTGCCTAGTCAGACACAGCTCAGGGTGGGCTCTGGGGCCTCCTGAGGGATRTTCAGCTGTTGGCTGATAGACTGCTGACAACAAGTGGCTAAGATGGCAGCAGGACCACCAATTCACAGGGGTTTCATGCAGAAGATCTGCCTCTTCTGCAGTGTGAGCCTTAAGGCATGCGTAATTTTTGTGGAAGCAAGTAAGTTACCATCATCTGAAAATCCTGCTGAGGGAAGGAAATAAGAATTTTTATTCCCACAAAGGGTTAAACTGAAGTTTCCCTTGTTTGCAAGTAACTTCAGCCAGGCCTGATAATCCCTCCAGTCTGCCAATTCTCTCTACCCTGAGCACRTCCCAGTAAAATGTACCCACGCTTTGTTAGTGATAACAGGCTTCTGGTCCCTGGCTGGGTTATTGATTCAATCCAGACCATTCCAAACTCTAAATAACAGAAGCAATACCATATGGAAAATGCAGAGAGAAAAAGAAGAAAACAGGCAGCTACTTGGCTAATCCAGGTCTGCAGCTTCCCCTCCAGCCCCATTCCCCACCCCCATCTAATTACCCTTTTCCTTGTCTTGTCTTTGAGGAACGGTTTGATTAGCGTGTACAGGGCATGGATGTACCAGGGCTGATTGACAAAATGGACTCCTCCAAAACGTGCAGGAAAGCTGTCCTACGGAAAGAAAGAAAGGAAGGCTGTTAAGACATTCAGTGCTTTACTCTGGCGGTCAACAGGATGAAAGTAGGAGGGAAAATCTGTCTCTTTCCATCCACAAACGAGCACTGGGCTTCCTGGGAGGGGGCAGGAGGGAAATGGAAAAAACAACAAAAAAAAAGATGCCTGGAAGCGTTTGTATCAGTTTCCTCTGTGGGCAGAGGCAGTCCCTTCGCCCCTCCGCGCACCGACACATCAATTGCAGATGAGGTGCCGAAGATTTAAAGTCGGGTCTCCAGCCACTTCTCATGAACATTTTTTAACTCCACCAGGGCATCTGACTCTGCCGGCCTGGGAAGTGAGAGGGGGTTGATGAGCACCGCTCCCTCGAGGGGCAGCTCTCTAATTTGTCATTGYGCGGCGCAAGGCAAGCCCCCGGTTCCCACGCACATCGCTGCTCAGAGCTCACCTTTTCACCCTTCGGCCTCCCTGCCTCCCCCTGCTAAAATCATCATTACAATGGCTGACCTTTCGGGGTGAGCAAGCAGCGTATTCCAGGGAGGAGGATGGGTGGGAAATGCTGATAAGTGAAGGTGAGGGGAGAGCGCACCATGACAGCTCCATGGAAACTGCGGGAGCCGCGCATTAACATGCAGGGAGCGTCCCGCTGGCGGGGGGTTCGCTCCGGCATCCCGCCAGCCGGGCACGCCTGATTTTTAAAGGTTATTGTACATTGTGAAAGGTATTTTGTACCTGCGATCTTATCTAAGAAACGTCAGTCAAGGAAGAGCCAGGATTTTTTTTTTTTTTTTTTTTTTTTTTTTTTTTTTTTTTTTTTTTTTTTTTTTTTTTTTGTTGCGTAAGTAATGGGACGACCGCTGCTCCTGTGTGCAAATACGCTTCCAAGGGGAGGAGAGGAGCCTGTCTCCGCTGTGAAGGGAGATTCTGATGAAGCCGTCCTCATCCTGTGTGTGTTCCTAACCCCTAYAGCTCAGCATGTAAAGCAGAGCATAATCAGGTCTCTTCCTTCAGGGCTTTGGCTCTGGGATTCAGGCAGGTTCCTTCCCCCTACAATTAGCACAGAGTGTCCTGGGGCTTTCTCTCGCCTTCCTCCCGAGCGTCAGAGATTGAGCACAGCTGGTGAGAATACAGGGTGGATTTGTGAGATGATATGAAAAAATCCCCTTATACACCCGCTCAGTAGAGCTTCTGCACTGCTTCAAGGTCAATTTTTTTCCCAGATTTAGCTATATGTATGTGTACACCACCTCCTGCAACCCAGGGCAGATCACCAGGGCTCTCCACACTCTTTGGCCATGGATGACCCCTGCAGTCACCTAAAATCATACTAGGGTAATGTTTGTGAGCAGGCATCCAGTGATATATTTTTTTTCCTGTTGTTATACAGTTGAATAAGCCATTTTCACCTCAGACAGATGAGTTGACCTGAAATCATTACAAATCTGAGTACTGGATGTACTGTGAATGAGTGTTGGATAATCAGGTCAGCATGCAGGAGGACAAACAGTATAAAATCACAGGTGATCCCATTTTAAATTCTAGTAAATTATGATGATTTTGCTTTTGAGGCCCCACCTGGTCTGGGGTCCTTAGCACAAGAAACATGTCAACCTGCTAGAGCTAGTCCAGAGGAGGGCCAAAAAGATGATCAGAGGCATAGAACACCTCTTCTACAAAGACAGGCTGAGAGAGTTGGGGTTGTTCAGTCTGGGGAAGGGAAGGCTCCAYGGAGACCTCATTGCAGCCTTCCAGAATCAGAAGGAGGCTTATAAAAATGAGGGAGAAGGCAGATAGTGGCAGGACAAGGTKTCAAACTGAAAGGAGRCAGGTTTAGATCACATATTAGGAAGATATTATTTTCCTAGAGGGTGATSAGGTATGGGAACATGTTGCCCAGAGAMATTGTGGRTRCYCCATCCCTGAAAGTGGTCAAGGCCAAGTTGAAWGAGGTCCTGAGCAACCTGACTTAGTGAATGGCAWCCCTGCCCATGGCAGGGGGATTGGAACTAGATGACTTTTAAGGTCTTTTCCAACCCTATCAATTGGAGGATTCTGCTCAGTGATTCAATGAATCTGTAACTCTCTTTAAGGATGGTATGTGTTCTGTTGGGGTGTTCATTTTCAATAAAGATGGTTGTATTTCCGTTGCTTTTCATTAGAGTTTAGGGATGCAGAAGTGACTCAGATAAACTACTGCAGTGCTGCAAGGTGCAGTGACTTCAGCTGAGCACTGAGAAATTACTGCAGAGTCTGAGCCCACCTGGAAAAACACATGGACTGACAGAAGCATGAGGCCCAAAGTGTTTCTCTACCATGTGAAAACCTAAAATCATGTTTTATAGCAGACCAGAGCCATAAAATGCCCATCTCATGCAAAATTCACAAACTCAGCTACCTCTCTCACACATGGGAATGAAAATTTTAAGATTTGAAATTTTTCACAGATTATTCTAAAAAAAAAAACAAACCCTAAGACAAACCTAAATGTTTTATATTTGCTTTAATTTATCTATTTATTTATTTATTYTATATTAGTCAAGCTGGCTGCCATCCCACAAGTTGTATCTATAAGGAAGAAGCTTTGGRAGAAGTTTTGCTCTTTGGGAGTAAATTGCCACACAGCTGTTCCCAGGCAGTTCCCTGCAGCAGCAAAGGTCAGTGTAGAAAATCCAATCTGAGTCTGAAGCACAGGACAGTAAAGAAATGATAGATGGGAAGCAGGGGAATAACTTTTAGAGACAGAGATTTATATTGATCTAAATGAGAGAAATAGTTTTGCTTTCTTGATGGAATATACAAATTATATTAATCACAATCTTTAGTGAGAAACAAATCGTACTTCATTTTCAAGTGGAAAAAAGTATTCTTTAGAATATGTTGGCCAGCTTTAATGATACCCAGGAAGGTCCAAGTACTGAGAATTATAGGAACTAGTCAGAGGTTTAAGCTGGCAGTCTTCCTCTAGAAAAAGTGGACTAAGAAGCAAGATGTACTTTCCTGTATAGAAAATTAATTTTATGTCCACAAACACAGATTGTTGATAGAATGTAGTCTATAAACTACATTCTATCTGACACATTAATATATTAAATGTTATAGGAAAGCCTTTAATATAACCATTTTATTAAAAAGAAATTACTTCCTTTTAATTTTGAAGGTACACCTAAAAATGCACAAAGAACCTTGAGAAGAAAACATGAATATCAGAAAAAAATCCAGCCACCAAAGAACATTTTTTGTGTGTGTAACTTTCTGCTAAATTTTGTTCCTTGCCCTATTAAACACAATAAGTTCAATTTGACCTTCATCCCTCAGTCCACCTGCATTTGTAAGGCTGTCAATTAGAATGAGGACAAAGACTTTTTCTTTTCTTTTTTTAAAAACAAAGAAATTTGATATGGGAATCATCCAGACACTGTTTGGAACTGCAACATACTAATTTTGTAGAAGTCCCTAATTAGAGCAGAACTGCCTTGGAAAGAAAAGCTCCTGTCTGGAGGTCTGCCTTGTGCAGCTCCAGGAAGATGTATGAGACATTTCCCACACCCCTCTTAGTGCCTCTGCTGCTTTCCCTGGGGCAAGGTGAAAGTAGCTGAAATTGATTTTCTGCTGGAGAGCTTTTGCTTTTAGGAATTCTCTTCTGATTTCTCWTGTCTTGTGATTCCTTGGGAAGGTGTATTTTATAATGAGGTACATTTTTTGGAGTCTACTGTGAAATGGACCCTGGGATCATGGAGGCTTTTCTTAACCTGATTCCTTGTCAAAAATACTGAATCCTGAGGATACACTTAGGTTTTATTCCAATGTTATAAATGAAATATAGTACATGTGAATCGTTTAATTATTTTTGGGAGCTACTCTCTTCTCCTCTGAGAACTAGGCTGGACAGATTAGCACATTGCTCAGCAACGAAATTGCAGTGTAAATAAACACATCCAATGCAGTGTTAATCAAGTAACCTGCTTCTAATCAATAACAGCGAACCCCAGAATCACAGAATCACAGAATGGGTCAGGTTGGAAGGARCCACAGTCATCAGGTCCAACCTCCCCGCTCARGCAGGGTCATCCCAGAGCACRGCACAGGATTGTGTCCAGACAATTCTTGAGTATCTGCAGTGAGGGACTCTCCAGCATCTCTCTGGGCAATCTGTTCCAGTGCTCACACTGGAGCACAGTAAAGAAGTTMTTCCTCATGTTTAGGTGAAACTTCCCAAGCATCTGTTTTTACCCATTCCCTCTTGTCCTGTTGACCTTGCTGAGGAGGCACCTGCCCCTTCATTCAAGTCATCATGAGTWAGTTAAACTGAACCTTGTGGGACACCACTAGTGACACGCCTTCAACTCGACCCTGGGGCACTAATTATGACCCTCTGGGGTCTGCCTTTGAGCCAGTTCTTAATCCACCTCACTGTCCACTCATCCACGCCACACTTCAGTGAAAGAACTCAAGATATCGTGGGCAGCTGGCTCACTCTACAGTCAGACCAGACCTTTTTTACTGGGACTTAAATTGAGCTAAAATAAGGAATATATCTAACCATGCTGCAGTGGCACCTTCCTGCAGCAGTGTAGGCCAACCAAGACATAAAATCATCCAAACACAGAGTTTGAGTTGATGTAATGAAACTGGGGCCATTGATGGGACTTTTATTTTGCCTGTTTTGTCTTTGTTTTGCTTTATGTATTTGTTTCTCTACTGTTTTCAGTTATTCTCCTCTTTATAACACCTAAAGAGAAAGAAATGAACACAGTGGAGTTGCCACAGACTCCCTAAATCCACACAGGCCTCAATACACCTTTCATTTCAGACTGAAGAAGTGTCTCCAAGCTTGCAGGTCAGAGCAAAATGTTATGGGGATCACTGATTCCCTTCCCTGCCCAGACCTGCTGTGCAGAAAGATTTCTGAACTGAGTCTGGAACTGAAAACCCTTGGTGCGTAATGTTCCATTAACAGCTCAGGAGTAATGCTTGGGAGCTATGAAGTGAATGACAGACAATTGTTCTTTCTTTCTTTCTTTCTTTCTTTCTTTCTTTCTTTCTTTCTTTCTTTCTTTCTTTCGTTCTTTCGTTCTTTCGTTCTTTCTTTCACTCTCTCTCTCTCTTTCTTTCTCTCTTTCTCTCTTTCTTTCTGTTCTTCAACATCCATTTCTTTTGGCATGAGTATGCATCAGAAATCTTTTGCTATGGTGTTGTTCAGAACTGCCTGAAACCTAAAAATCAACGTGATTTTTCAGCATCTTCTCACACTGAAGTGTGTCAGGAAAGCAAAGCCATCTTTGGAATACAAAWAATAAGAATGAATCCAACCTGATGCTCAAGGTCATTCCTTCCAAACTTCATGAACTGATGTCACAGACCAAAGACCTGAGCTCAAAATCCATATTATAGYATATTTCTAGGTTACAGAATATCTGAATTTTGAGACATAAGCATTTTAAAAATGCTTTCATAATCTTTACCCCTTCTAATCACATAAGCAAGCACACATCTTGCCATCCCAATGCACTTCAATCTCAACCATACTTGCCAGTTTGCTGAAAATCCAAATATAATCCCCCTTGAAAGAAAATAATTTACCTCAGATTCAGGAAGATACCAGTCATAAACAAAATGGTTTAGAGCAAGA